GTAAAGCCAAGTCTACGCTGGCAGGTTACTGTGCTGTAAGTCAGCCTGCGCACTACAACGCACGTGGTGCCCACATGGGCCAGGCGCTTGGTGCGCACTAGCTCCGCAGGCGGCGCACTCTCGTTAAACCACCTTGACGAGAGGCGGCGCTCTGGATCCAGCGCTGGGGCGTAGTTCTGCATCCTGGCTGGCCTCCGGTGCCCTTCCCACAATGCCTGTTCTGGCCTCTCTAGTCATCGGTTTGAACTCTACAGCCCTGCTCAGGTGACCAACCCTCAGGCCCGCCCTTTGCGTTCCTTTGGAAAGCTGAAAGGCCCCTTCCTGTTTGCTTGGCAACACGTGGCCATCTCAGCACCTCTCTCCAGCTGGCCATGCCTGCACCCCGGGCTGCCAGCGTGGAGCCAGGTCGAGGGACAGGACCTGCCAGGTCCCAGCTGTGCTCCAGCCGCAGGCACGACGCTACCGACGGGCACATCTCGCGGTGCACGACCGACGGGTCATGGCCGGGCCCCACGGCAGTGCAGGGTCAAAAAGAAGGCCCCTGCCACAAACCGCCACGCTGGCGCCGCGCCCACGAGCTGCCGGCACTACAAAGAGCCAGATGAGACCCTTGGAGGTGGCCCCCCCTCCGCTCCGAAGACCCTGTGGGCCCCTCAGGGGGTAGCCGGCAGCGGACGGAGACAGGAGGAGGAAGTTGTGGCCGAGCGTGCTGGGGGCAGGGGGACCCGGAGCCAGAGGAGCCGGTCCGTATCCCGGCGAGGCGCCTGGCGAGCAGCTGGGTCTCAGGCAGCGCTCAAGCCGCTGGCCAGGAGCGGGAGGGGCACCGAAAGGAGGCGGGTTTGGCGTGAGGCTGCCACCAGCGGAGGGTCGATCCGGCGGCAGACAGAGGGTCGATCCAATCTCTGACGGCTTGGTCACCTGCCCACAGACCCCATCCCCACGCAGCCGCGGTGGCCTTTGCCTCCGAAGGCCGAGACTCCCTCCCCGCCGCAGGGGTGGGAAGAGGACCCGTCACCGCACAAAAACAAGCCACGTCTGGTCCCGGGCGGAACCCGCAGCCGCGTGGAAAACCCTCCTCTGCTGCCCTGCGCGAAAGGCCTTCCAGGGTGAACCCAGCCTATGGCAACGAGGGGCCCTCGCTCCCCCATTCATCCCTGAGAATCCCCGCCCTGGTGGACATGCGGAGCAGCCTCTGCCCATGGGGGGCCCAGGCAGCCTCCCCAGCTACCCCCCCAATGCAGCCTCTGACAGAAGCAGCACTGGCGGGAGGGGGGGGATAGGCAGCACTGAGGAGCCGGTGCTGGGGCAACCGGATTTTAAGCCAGCTGCCCGCAGCACCAGCTCCCGCTCCCCTCTCCCTTGCTCCAAGGGGCATGGAGCACGAGCAGTCGCCAAGATTAATTGATCATCTTAGATTAACAGATAAGCCTAACGGCCTCCTCCCTAACGTCACTAACGCACACGCCTGTCCTCGAGCCGGCCGCCCAGCCTCAGGATCCCTCGCTCTAACCCACGCAGAGGATGGGGATGGAAGGTGCAGCCGAGAGCCAAGGTCCCGCAGCAGCAGCCTCACTCGGCCATCGCTGCTGAACGAAACCTGAGTGGGCGGGGCTGCCTGGCTCGGGCAGCTCCGCCCCCCAGCTGCAAGTCACGGAACAGCCTCAGAGATCCCTAGGGTATGGCAGGCTTTGCAGCGTGAGAGCTGGCAGTCGCAGAGAAGGAGCTCTCCCTTTGGGGGGCCTGGCTGGCCGTGGGAACAGGCGGCAAAGCCCCCCCCCCAGCAGGTGCCACTGGCTGGCAGGCCAAGCCACGGGTTATGCTGAACAGCCGGACGTGCTCCCTGCAGCAGACCCAGGCTCTTCCTTTCCATCGAGTGCGTCTGGCACTAAGCGCACGGCCTCAGCCGGGACATGCAGCTCTTCATTAGCCACCCGCTCCATGAGCTACCCTGCTCATCGCGGTCATTCTGGAACTTGGCAGGTTACGTCTCCTTTCCCCATCAGCCACAGCGAGGGCATTCTCCTGGCACGCAGATGGCGCCAAACCCACGGCGGTGCGGGCAGGCGGGGTAGCCGAGGAGGGAAGCAAGGGAGGATACAGAAAACGCGTCGCTTCCTCTCTGCTCCGATGTACCAGGAGAAGGGAGGAGGAAGAGAAAGAGAGGGGAAGCTCGGCGAGGAGTTTGCCTGGCCCCTGTCCAAATGAAGGAGGATGAGGCAAGAAGAACCCAGAACAGCCCACGACTTCTGCTGGAGCACGGGCTCGAAACAGTCAGTCGTGTCCCTTGGGTGCCAGCCAAGCCCTGACTTGCTTCACATGAATGAAGTGGAGGATGAGCTTCAGTTTAATGATTTCTTGCTGGTTGACCTGCTAGCCCCTTTGCGGGTTTGCATGGAGCACAGGGCCCCCCCACAGGGACTTGTCATCTCAACTTCTCAAGATGGGGAAGCAGCAATTCTCAAGTTCTAGCCCAGCAGCGAGGCGCAAGCTGGCAGCTTATCACAGGCTCTGGTCAGTAGGAGACAAGACAATGATCCCACGCAGGGTACAAGGAAGTCGTCCTACAGCCTTCTCAGAGTCCAACGCCCGAATTCCCGCTCAAGGAATTCTTAGAGCTCGGTAACAAACGTATTAGCCAGAGGCTGATAAACTCCCGCAGGAGTCTCGCAGGCAACGAGAAATCGGCTTTCAAATCCTGGATCTTTAAGAGAAAGCGCGTGGCAGGGATGTTAGAATTCAGCTGCTAGAGCGAAGGGGCCCTGCTTCCATTTAGTCTGCCCTCCCATCACGCGGGGTACCGGGACAGGCCCTCGCACAATCCCAGCGCATCTGCCCTCCCATCACGCGGGGTACCGGGACAGGCCCTGGCACAATTCCAACGCTGCAGTAGACTGTCGCCACACTACAGTGATTAATGAACTTCTGAGAGTGAAGAGCTATGAGAAGCCAGGCAGGTGACATGGATAATAAACAAGGCGAACAGACGTAAGGGTCCACAGGAATCAGACGGAGGAGACCGATTGGGTCGGTGAATCTTCGTCCCTGCCAGTAGAATGGTGTCCCACGACACATTTTCTATCCCAGTTTTAGACAGCCCAAGCAACATTTCCCCCAAAGCAGTGGTGGAAGTCTATTTCACACCCTAATAAATCTCACTTTTAGGAATATTCCCCCTAAAAATGTCCTGTCCTTCAAGTTTTGGAAAACGCGAGAGTAAGGAATGGAAGGAAGAGAAGGTCTCTACGACTTCTTCCTGCATCTTATGGAGGATTTTTTGGAGATCGATAACCCTTTCAAAATATACTGCTTGAATCAGTCCACCATAGAGAATGGAAGAATGTGTATATATGCATATATCAGAGGAGCAATACACTGGCTACATGCAAGTCCATTAAGACTCAGTCCAAAACAACTCCGAGGTTTAGGAATTGGAGAATCACGTGGTTCCATTGCTGGAAAAAGGTTTTGAGGAGGTAAAGCAACATGGGAAAGGGCAGCTGAGGACTGCCTGGGTAAAGCTAAAACATTTTAAAATAGCTATGACAAGTAAATGTCTATTTTCATAACTCTGGAAGAATCAGACATCAGCTCAGGACTGGCAACACCACCATCTGAGGAGGAACTGAAGAACTGAAAAGTCTCCAGTCTCTTTACCTGCTAGCCAGGCTTACCTGTACACACATGGCATTGGGGCAGAAATAGTACGAGCAGGCATTACCGCATTATAATTGACTTTGTTACTTTCCAAAGAACACAGTTATGCACTTTCTTCACTGGCCGGGACATCATGTTAACACAATTCCAGCAAGAACAGGTTTTAAAACACTGCTCTCTAGAAAGGACCTACCCTGGTTTCAATTCTTAGTACTAACAGGCGATTCGGAGCTCACCAGCTCCCAAAGGAGTCAATGAGAATTTTGTGTTGACTAGACAGGATGCTTAAAGAACTGACATTTTCGAGAGATCTATCGTTCTGACAGCGAGTTCGTGTTTGTACGGCACTTTGTACAGCACACTCGGGCCTGTGTTGCCTGAGCATTTTCCCCACCTCCTGCATAATTTACTCTTCACAACGCTCTTACAATGATCTCCATTCGACCAAGAGCCAAGATGAGGAACAGAGAGGTTAAGTGACACAGCCATGACCACAGAGTGGAAGTGTCAGAGGCAGGATTAGAACTAATGAGTTCCTGACTCCCAGTCAACCACACACAATGAACTTAAATAAGCCACTAGGACAGCCGTGGCCAACCCGTGGCTCACAAGCTGCATGTGGCTCTTCCCCTCTCCCCCTCCAAAAGTGTGATTTGCAAAGCCACTCCTGCGCCCCCCCCCCCAAAGGGCCCCTTACTGGGTCAGCGATTCAAAATGGCACCCAAGATGGCGGCCATTGACCAGAGCCTGATAAGACCAAAAGGCCTAAGCTTGCTTGTTTGCTCCTTAAAGGGGCAGCCTTTCCCCCACCCCACTTTTTTTTCGGCTTGACAACTCTGGTGCAGCTCTTCGCATTTTTTCCGCTGCTGTTTCGGCTGTCTTCATAAACGGGTTGGCCACCCCTGCACTAGAACTTAGTTTTAGTGGGACTTCTGGTTGCTTTTTAAATCCCCTTTAGTCCTCTCTATTGACTCCAGTACTCAGCCTGGTTACGTGCAAGGAACCCCTTGTTTCAGCTATTGAGGGGAAGCAGTAAAGCAACTTTTGGTTTAGAACAATCTCTAAAAATCATTTGTGCTTCTAGTGACCCTAAGGAACTCAAAGCGCTTTAAGATGTAATTTGGGCCACACACTAGCTAACTGAACTAGGTGAGTACAGCAATACCCATTTCATAGATGGACGTAACTAAGCTAAAGAAGTTAAGAGTAAGATATTATATACTTAAAGATTTGATTCTTTATACAACAAATGCCATAGGTTTCTTCAGGTTAACACTAGAAGACTTAAAAAAAAAAAACCACCCTATTTTTTTTTAATTGACCATTCCTGCAATTGACTTTTGCCATGTCTTTCAGGGTGGACAACGAAGTCGTCCATTTCACTCCTATTTCTAGTAAATTTCACCTTTTAATTCTGTTATATTAGACTTATGTGCAGTATTTGGGTTAAAAATGACAGGGAAATTTTTTCTGGTAGTGTTTCTATTGGACATTTTAAAATAGGAATATCTATGATAAGCATTTACATAACCTGCTATTTAAAAAAAACCTTAAATTATGGGCAATATTTAATTCAGTACGGTCTCTTTTTTACTTGCCTAAGCCTGCAAAGTGAATCTGTAGCCACAAATGGAACCCAGAGTCTCGTTCTGCTGTCCTTAATAGGACACGATGTGTGTCTCAAATAAATAAATGAAGTTGAAATAATTAATGTTATTCTTTCCTCTTCTGTTCCCACTATGCCTCCTTCCCTGAGTTCCCTTAGGTCCATCATACACAATACATTACGTACAGATCATTGGTACAACACACCATGACAGATCCTCTGGAGACCTTCTGAAATACTGCCAAACCATACACTAGCTAAGGTGACAATTATGGGTGCATGTCAGCTCCACACTCCAAAAGCCTTTTACCATTTTAAGGTACAGGCAGTCCCCGGGTTACATGGATCCGACTTACATCGGATCCCTACTTCCCCCCAGCAGACTAGGGAGATGCGAAGCTAGCGCGTCCCCCTCCCCCCGCCCAGCAGACCAGGGAGAGGTGGAGCGGCTTTTCTCAGCAGACACTTCAGCTTGAGAATAAAGGGCTGAGGGAAGTGAGGTGTGGGAGAATAAAACTGAGCTCTGGAGAAATGTTTGGCTAGAGTTTCCCCTACAATATGTACCAGTTCCGACTTACATACAAATTCAACTTAAGAACAAACCTACAGTCCCTATCTTGTACGTAACCCGGGGACTGCCTGTACTTGTTGGGTCCATACAGTCACTGCTTTTCTATCTTTACAAATACAATAAAAATACAAGATTTAACCTTCTCCTGCAAATAAGACCACAAATAGTTCGCATCTTTTAGACAACTGCACGTCGATGTTAAGATTAGAAGCAAAAGCACAGACCCACTGATTGTAAAACATTTTCTTACCATCCTTCATTCCTTCAAGAACAAGGTAATTGCAGGGATTCGATACCTATTTGAAATGTAAAGAGTAAGAAGAGAGTTTCCCCCATCAGCTCTTGCAATGAAGCAAGAAGAAAGAATAAACGGAAATAATCCTCCCGGTAAGGGAGCAAATTTAATTGTTGATTACAAGATTAATCAAGAACCCATAAATATTTTGCACAGTGAACGAGTCAAGCTGGATAAGATCCCATGTTTTAGCAAATATTTGTGTGACATTTAATCACTTCAATTCTTTCCATAATTGTATATGGTAAAGCATTACAGGAGGCGAAGCCACTATAACCACCCTGCTCCGTCCTTCTTGTCTTTGTAAGGGAGATAACCCAATGCGTTCACTGAACTAATTCAGCAATATGTAAGGCCTTGTGCATAATAGACTCACATGCATCCTGGAAACCTGTTTAGCCACATCCAATGCTTGTGTTCAGTCATTATCTGTAATCTGCCTGGAGAGGACCACACTCGAGCAATTTCACTTGTGTTTGACCAGGGCGCTGTTTTGAAGCAGCAGTTTACAAACCAGCTTTACACCAAATTTAGCTGTTTTGGAAAAAAGCTCTCAGCATTTGATTTTGTAACCAAGAGTAAACATTTACAGACAATTTATAACCTCTTGAAATAACCCTGACTGTAGGAAAACTAGTGGGTCCTTTCTGTACCATTAGCATCTCGAAATATACAGTACTTATAGCATGGGGGCAGAGAGAGAAATATAATGATCAGTATTCACACATCACCTCAACAGGACAAAGATATTAGTCAATTACCCAAATACACAAACTGGTGCAAATATATTTGCCATGGTTAACCATGTATCACTTGTGGTGAATGAGGAATTCACAATCTCATCA